ACTTTTAGGTTTTTTCGTAGGTTGATACAATTATTCTAGCTTGTTTTTAGTCAAAACATACTTGAAATGATCATGTCTAACCCTCAAGGTGAAAGCTTGGATAGCCCATTCGGTATTTAGTCTTTAATCTCCAGTGTGGTAGTATTAAACCTCTTCAAATATTATCATAAAGTTTCATCTAGTTTCTGTTTTATGGCCAGTATGCTCACAAATGAGTGCACTACCACTATACTGTTCAAGAAATATGCCAAAACCTATTTGTTGAAGGTATCGAAGTTGTCTATAATAGTCAAGCCATGGAGTAAAACAAGGTTTTGGCTTTTACTTGTAGAGTTATTGGTAAGACTCCACGCTTTATTGCATCAAAGGCATTGTGTAAATCTATGAAAATTTTGAAGTGATTTAAGTGGTCCTCTGGATCAGTGGCAACATTGTATGTGTTTTTGGGAAGTTTTAGAAAGGTTGGGATATCCGTTTGCCTGATGGTAGAGGTAAAAGGGTTGTGGTCATATTCAAGCCACTAAAGATCTTTATTCTTTTTTTTTTTTAAATTAGCAAGCTCCTTGCACAAGGCAGCCACTTGCGTGGCAAGTTCATTGTCAAGGTTAGGGTTTGTATGGTCTTAGTTTTGTGTGGTGGGGTCATTGAGGTAAATGCTATCTTGGATGGGTTGGTAGCTTTCTTTAGGGTGGACAAGGTTTTGTGGTGGTTCTTTGAAAGATAAGGCAAAGATGTCTCTCAGGTATGGTTTTTCTTGTAGGGGTTGTTGGGTGACTTGTTGGTATATTGAAGTAGCCTCTGTTGTGTGGCCATGTGGGCACTTAAGAGTTGTATTTGGGTCATCAATGCTTGGTAAAAGTCTAGGGGCTTGTTGCATGTTTAATAGGTATGTTGGGATCTGTGGCGTAGAAAATGAGAGATGCACGGTGGATGTTGTAGGGGGAATATTTTGCCACTTAGTGGCATTAACGGGTTGTGAGGATTGGATTTGTGTAAAAGGTAGTTAGGATATCGGGTTTGAAGGTCTAGCAACAATGATGTGGACTAATGGTGGAGTTAATGTCATGTTTTAAGATAAAACTCCCATCAAATTTTGGTAAAAGCTTAGAAGCTGTTTGGTCCAAGCATTTAATGATAGAGGGTTGTTAGGGAACAGGGAATTCCACGAAAGGAGATTCGGTGATAGGATTTGTGCTGGGAGGGTTGGTAGCATGGTTGCCATATCTGAGATAGTTATAGGTTGGGTCATTGCAATAATGATAGGTGTGGTAGTTCTAGCGGAATGGGGATGGTGAGACATGGTTGTCGTTTTTCATAGACGACCCCAATTGTTTATGGTATTTTTGGGTGTCTTAGCTAGGAAGAAATGAGGAAAGGATGAGGATGAAGTAGTTTGAACCTATAGCCAAAGAAAACAGTCAAGTGGTGTTGGAGTTGTCTTTCCAAGACGTACTTCGACATTCAAGTCAATAAGGTATTGAAAGTAAAGGAAAGGAGAGGAAAGTATTATGCGTGTAGGAAGCTTTAATAGAAAGAAAATGCTTAAGTATGCAGAATGGTCTTACTTTCTCTTACGTATTTGAGCTTTCTCCTTATCTTATATATGAAATCATAGGTAATAACTTGATTGGAATAGTCGACAGTTGATAAAAAATATATACAACATTTAATGATTCCAATTAGGTATGAATTGTGTTTAATAATATTTAGTAAGTTAGAGGTAAATATTCAATTTTAATATGATACCATAACGGGGATATAGAGCAAGCTTCTCTTTGGCGAGGAGCTGGCTGTTTCCTTGAGTAAATATGATGTGGCAACTAATCGACCTAAAAAGTTGACTCTGTTGATCAAAAGTTGATTGTATAAATGAACGTAAGGCCAATAAGTCAAAGACGACAACTCTATAATTTAGTACTTGAAAAGCTCCGTATTTTTGCCCAACGTGTCAGCCCTTTTTTTAAATGAAGGTGTCAGCATCTTTAAATTCAAAGCTTTTGTTTTACGTAATATAGACATGGCAGCGGTTTAGTAAATTTGTTTTAATGACTTAGGTTCCCCTTAATTAAATACGAAGGTTGAGAGTTTAGGGCAGTATGGTGGATATTTTATCCTCCTCTTGACTTACTAAAACAAACTAATTTAATTCCAACAAAAATACATACTAATTTAATTATTGCCCAATACAAAAATTGGCATGATCTAGATATTAATTTAGTAAATGTTGATTAATTGAACTCGAGGGATATGGGTGTTGCGTTCCAAGGTAATATCGATAATGTCATATACCTATGGAAATGTATAGAAACCACATTGGTCTCCATCTCACAAATCTAACGCCCACCCATGACTCCCCACTTTTAGGCATATTATTATAATTTTTTTTTTAATTTCTAATCTATTCTTAAATCTTCAATCCCTATATACTTAATTCACATGAAAAAGACATTATGAGTTTAAATTTTTTTTGAATTAATAACTTCTTAAAATCTGACCAATATGTATATTATCTAAATTAATACTACAAGTATTATATTATAAGTTTATAATATAATAAAATAAAACAAAATAAAATTTCATGTCAAGGGTTACACGTAAAAATTGTCAACCATTATAAAAATTTATCAGGCTTGATTGTCCCATAATTTTCCCAAATACTATGTGGGCTTCTCCGCTCTTGGACAACCTTCATATCAAAGTTCTCAAATATTGGTGCAAATTAATAGAGTTTTTGATGGGTCAAATGGCCATCCAAGATTATAAGCCCAACCCTTTTGAACCAACCGCCAGCAACGATCAAATCAGAGGAGAGTAGGGGAAGGCCGAAGTTGTAGGGATTTAACGTCACGTGGTCCACGTGCTGTAACGCGGCAAAAAACTACTAATCACCACTGCCCCTTCGCGTTTTTTTTTGTGGTTGGGGGATGGCCGTTGGAAAGCATTTAACTGTCAACCGTGTTTTGGAAATCGTGTGACGTCACTCTTTTCTTCTTTATTCTCTTGCCAGTTGCCACCTCCCATCACTTTCCATTGTTTCCATGAAAATATCCAACCCAAGTCTCTCATCCCTAATTCATCCTCGATGTAATGGTTTTTTTTTTTTTTTTTCTTTACTCCTCCGAAAGTCCTTCCTAAAACTATAGTATTTCCTTGGCATAAGTATAAAAAAGTTCTTAAAATAAATTTAAAGAATCATTTAACTTTTTATTCTATTACAATCAATTAAATTTTTAAGCATTTATTTTTACAATTTGAATCTTTATTAATTAATTAAAAATTAATTAACTGTTAATAATCATTTTTATTTAATTAGATAAAAATATATATTTAAAAATTTTAATTGAATAAAAATAGATATTTAAGAATTTAATTAAATAAAAATAAATATTTGAGAATTCAATTAATTATAACTATTTCATTTTTTTGGCCAAAGAACTATATTGCATTTTTCCGTTAAAAAATGTTTTGCATTTAGTACATCCTTTTTTTAATTAATTGCGCACCTAGAAAAATTATACATGATTTTAAATAAGTATGAATAGTTTGATTTCATGTTTTTTTCAAATTTTTCAATAATTTTGGATATCATATGAATTATAACTTCTAAATCAATCATATTTACTAGCATATGTCTAATTCTATATTTGAAATTTAATATTCAATTTAAATAATTAAATTATGATTGTGGTTTATAATTTGCATAAATATTAAATAGAAACCAACATTTAGTTGAATCATTATTATCATACATCAAAATAATTCTATTATCTTAAAATTTTGAGACTAAATGATTAAATTAACAAGTGTTTATATATATACATGTATATATAAGTGCTTTACAAATAAGAAAAATTGTTTATCACTTTTGAGATGTGATGCAATAGCTAAGATGAGTTCAAGGTAGATTCAAATAGTTGATTGCGTATAAAAAGGTTTGACATTCCATTAATGTTATATCTAATTGTTGGTTGACCTATTCTACAATGATTGATTTGAACATAATTTAATAATAATATTTGCTTGAAGAAGTACATATGCATATCAGCACATGTAAATTTTTTTTTCATTCACAGAAAACAAATTCATTTTATCTTACTATTTATTATATATGTGTTTTTTTTACATATATAATACTACATATATATATATATGTGTTTTTTTTTACAGATTTATTCATATTATTTAAATTTGATAATTTATATTTCGTATAATATAAAATATTGATAATTTACTTTAATATATTATATTTTATATGAAAATTATGCATTATAATTTTTATTAACACAAAAAATATGAAATATATTTTGTTATTTTTGTTACAATCATATATACTTTTTTGTTAAAAATTTAAACTTATTATTTTTGTTTTCTTTATATTGCATTTTGTTTCCTATAATTATGTTATATTTTATATTATCATATTTAAATTATTATAAAATACAAATTGATTATAAGTACTAATTTTTTTTATTCATTAATGTCAATTATGAATTAATCATATTCATAAACTTGTATATATAAAATAACACGATTTTAGATAACATTACAGAAAAAAAATCAATCATCAAAAACCTTCATAAAAGAGTTTTTTTTTAATTATTTTGTTCGAAGAAGTACGTTTGAAAAGATGATCGTTTACGAAGTCCAAAGGTTAGCAGCCGAAGGAAATAGAGAAGAAAATTGCATCCTCGAAATCAACAGATGATAGTGGAAGCTGACCTTTTGACTCAGACAGGCACAGATACGTTCCCTTAAAAAAAAAAAAAAAAAAGTCCAAAACCTGACTAGTCAAATTGTCCGGTTGATCCACAAGTTGCATGAAAACCAGAACAGCTGGCTATGATACTATTTCTACTGCCCAAATCTCTCTGTACAAAGCGTGGATCCCCACCCGTTACCCCACAAAGCCACAGCCTGGATCCTCTTCACTTTCCGTGTTTTATAATCTGTAAAAATTCCCACTTTTAAAACGATCTGCAAAACTTCATATATATACCACCATTTCACACTTTTGATTCACATTCACTCAAAGCAAAAGCTCATCATTTTTCTTGTACTTCCAAATTTCTAAAGTCCAAAAAACAACACTTAAAACTACGTACCCTTCCTTTTCTTAAAAAGTTTTAGTTTAGTTTAGCTTATTCAACTGAAACTTCACTCAAATACTCAAAGTCAAACGTTGCTCAAGTGCTTTAATTTACGGTTTCATTATTTTTTTTTCAAAATGGATTTTTTTGCTCAAGATTACGAGATGGTGGATTCTGGGTCGGTTTCGTCGCCGCTGTCTGATGGTGGAAGTGGAACTGGACGTCCGGCGAATTTTTCCGATGAAGATGTGATGCTAGCTTCCAGTTATCCGAAGAAGCGAGCCGGAAGAAAGAAATTCCAGGAGACTCGACACCCGGTGTTCAGAGGAGTCCGTCGGAGGGACTCCGGGAAGTGGGTTTGTGAAGTGAGGGAGCCTAATAAGAAGTCGAGGATTTGGCTGGGGACTTTTCCCACAGCAGAAATGGCGGCGCGTGCACACGACGTGGCGGCGATTACTCTGAGAGGAAGATCAGCTTGTCTGAACTTCGCGGACTCTGCTTGGAGGCTTACGAAGCCGACTTCTAGTGATCCAAAGGATATCCAGAAGGCGGCAGCAGAGGCGGCGGAGGCTTTTCGACAGGCTGAGCATTCGGATGGGAACTCTGGAGATGATGCGAAGAGAGCTGAAAACACGGAGGTGGGTAAAATGGCAGTGTCAGAAAATGGGTTTTATTTGGACGAGGAGGCGATTTTCGGGACGGAAAGGTTTTTTGCGAACATGGCGGCGGGCATGTTGATGTCACCTCCTCGTTGTGGATATAATTGGGATGAACAAGAATTTGATGGCGCCGATGGTTATGTACCTCTTTGGAGTCATTCAATTTAAATTACCTCAATAGACATTTCAAGTACACACAGGATAAAGTGAGGCTTCTAGTTGGCGAATACCTTTTTTATCCGTACTTTTGGTTTTTTTCTAGTACGGATGTTGTTAGAAGGGAAAAGGATTGATTTTGTGGATGAGAGTCAAAATCTAAACGAAAACAAGAAGAGTCAAAGCTAATTGTCGGGTAAAATTTGACATGAAGTTAGATATTTTTAACACGTGAGCAGAACTCTGAATATATTTGTCGTAAAATGTTTTTGATCAGTTATGTACATATCTCTTTTTAAACAAGATTGCAGTTTGGGGGAAGCTTGTTAATGTACGGATTGCGCTGTAAATAGCCCTTTTTTTTTTGTTGAAGTGAAGTTTGATCCGTTGTCAGCTTAGCCCAAGTATAGTTCGGTTAAATCAAATGAGGCTCTCAGCACGTCGGGCGTTATCTCTGTTTGTTTTTGAATCATAAAGCTTTAGAGTTTGACTTGTATTCGGTACATCGAACAAGATTCGATGTAAAAACGATCAGAATGCTTACATATGCCATAATTGCTACAGACGACTTGACTAATCCAGCAATGCAAGTAAAACATGCTACTTTAAAGATGACACATAAATTTACATTGAAATTAGATTTGCCTTTGTTGATATACCGATCATCACTAAGGAAAAAAAAGACGGGAGTCTAAAAAAATGGACTTAAGTTACAGCGAATATCCCTTGCGTTGCTAAGAAATTTTCAACCATCAGCAAACAAAATGCGAAAGAGTCTGGCCATGTTAAGCATTCTACAAAAACGCTTAGACACAAAGAGCCATCATGTTTCATGGACAGGTGCGGTTGATCTCGGGTGAGTTCGGTTACTACTTGGTAGATTTCACCATTTGGTTAGTGCATGTGTCCAATGAAGAACGATCACTTCATTTTCTTAAGGAGGGTTGAGGTCCTGAACTCCGCATCATCCCTTACAAAGCTCCAGCAAATGTATGTAATAGGGATACAAGCAGCATGCCGGACAGCATGAGCATCAACAAAACCCCTATAAGGTGGGAAGTCGTATATCTCAAAGAGCACAGCAAGGCTATCGACCACAATAAATAACCAAACCTTCCAGCGTGATGGATGGCTAGTTACAACAGTCCAAACTCCCCAAATGACAAGTTGAGCTACACCCATGGCCGTACAAACTTTCATATTTAGACCTGCAAACAAATCTGCCTCGTCAGAAAGGAACCAAAATGAACTGATTATTAGCTGGGAATCAACACTACTCTTGATTTAGAAAATAAGTATAAATAGTTATGACAAAAAAGATAAATGATAGGCTGGAAGAGTATTTATGATGAAAGAATAACTGAGCATAAGAGATGGGTTATTGTCCAAGACATGGTAGAAAGAAAGTTCAGGTGACCGACCCCAAATAGCTATTAAGCAACATCACTTTGAATTCAGTCAGCACTTTGGGAGATATCAAACCGAATCAGTGCTTTCACAATCTCAATTTATAATCTACAAAGTTGGAACTATAATGTGGTGTAAGTACATAAAATTCTATACAACGCCCAAGTATAGAGGCTAAGTATGATGAATGCTGATAATCTTATTCTGTGGATAGAGGTTAACAAAGAAAGAATTACCATAGTCAAGTTTGTAGAAGTTCAGATACAAGATGTGTGTTGTCACAATTGCAATCAGTGGAGCAGCAACCATGACTCTTGAAGCTTCATCTCTCACATTGAATACTCGTAGTATTGTTAGAATAAGACCGAATCCAACTAATGCAACAGCAGATGAATAATCTAGCTTCTCTGTCAGCTCAACATCTCTACAGTTAATTAAGTTAGAGAACCCGACAGAAGATTAAAAAAAAAAAGTAGAAAAAAAGCAATAATATTATACTGATTTAAGAATACTCAGCTCAAAAACCAACCATCTGACTTTTTTTTTTTTCAGAGAAATATTGATTACTTAACCTCTCTTAAATTATGACCAACTCTTCTCCTTTATAGACATTGGAAATTATTGTTGTTAGTGAGTTTGCTACACATGCTATGCTGAGGACATGGTCAAAATATTTTTACTCAAATTACTTCCTAAAGGCATCCAAAAAGGCTTACATGATTAAGAATCTGGCCCGGGCTCTGGTGCAAGAAAATGTCTCCTAATTGATCATGTGCAACTTATCAAGAGTCAACATTCTCTATGTTGTAAAATCAGAAAGGACCATTGAACCCTCTTTTAAATTTACGTTAGAACTACAATAGAATAGATGCCTAAAGATTACTGGTCCAGAGGAATATAAAGAGGATTGCTTACCGACTATGGAAAACAGCACTCCATAACCAGAAGTTCATTGCGAGGATGCCGTAGATGTGCCACAAGCCAGTATATTCATAATAAGTCCTTTTATTAGGCCTCAAAGGCAACTTATAATTCAGAAGGATAAAAAAGGAGAGCCAACCATGAAATTGCATCGCAAGGCTTAGTGCAGAGAATGCTACAGCAACGGGCTCCTAAAAACATACGAATGAGACATCACTAACAAGAACAACGGTAATCTCTGGCGGAAAAAAAACAAAAAAAACCAAAAAAAAAAAACAAGAACAAAAATAAAAATAAAAAAACATAAAAATGATACAAAAGGTGATATACTAAGAACCTGGATCCCATAGACACGTCGAAAAGGCCATTTTCCGTGATATTTGACCGGTTTGTCACCGAGTTTCTCTCTCTGTTCCTCTCTAGCAAGCATACAGTGGTACTGACAATCGGAACGACAGTCCCACTGCTTCCATTTCTGATAAAGGGGCTCTTGTAAATACCATGGCCCATCAATTGGTTTCCCATCAGATGAGAATTTACAGTGTTGAAAGCACCTTTCCCCCACGCACCCACTTTTCTCACACTCATCCAAACAAGCCCTAACAAATGAACAAAACGCATAAGAATAACGGCAACAACCTCATACGAATCACAATCAAGTTAAATTGTCCTAAAAAGATAAGGTTATCAAAATAACCAAAAAAAAAAGAAATATTCTAAATGTAGCAATTTCAAACGCCATAAAAGCTGTAATTATCATTTCTTTTATAAAGGAATATTCTTGTTTTAACTTTCATCATTGCAAAATTAATCAAAGTAAAATTAAATTTAAACGGCCTAAAGCATAGATTTTGCATCTCAAAATCATTCTACCATTTACTTTTCACCCAAATTTTCCTTCAAAGAGAAGAACTTAAAAGAAAAAAGTAGGTTTTCTATCAAACAGTACAAACATTTTTCAAAAAAAAAATTAAAGAAGTACAATTTTTGTTACTGAAGCCGCGAATTTTCGTGCGAATAGACCTAAAAGGAGCAAATACATAACAAAGCGAGAGAAGGAAATCGAATGAGCTTACTTGTAAATCGGATCAGTATCACCTTCACTGGCGTCAAGTGAAGGTACGAGAAGGGATAGCACAAAGAAGAACAGAATCAAACGGTAAAGAGCCATTCGATTCAAGGCAAAAAAAAGTCAACAGGGAAAAAAGTTATTCGTGATTTTTTCTACAGAATAAGTGATTGCTGATTGAGGTTGCAGAGATGACGTGGTAGATTCTGTCCCATGGAATCGACAAGAGAGAGAAAGAAAGAAAGAGTTCTATTTGAAGAAACGAGTTCAGCTGGTACAGCGAACTCAATGGAGGAGAGAGGTGAGTAAGCGTTAGGGAGACAAAGAATGAGAGTCCTCGAGTTATGGGTTTTTCCTTTCCCTCTCTCTCTTTTTTTTTTTATATGGAGCATCGTGACCGTGATGGCGATGGGGGCAGAGACCAGAATCTCGTGAAGAGCTGATCTCAGTAGCGATCCATCGTAAGAGACACGTGGATATTGATACTGTTTAATTTTACCAAAATGACACCTATTTCATCCTTAACGACGCTAATGCCCCTCGTCGTTGACCATTTTATGCGACGCCGTTTTTTACTATCTTCCAAAGCTTTTGCTTCCACCTGAAAAAACCCGTGTTAGAACCGTTATATTAGTTAGATCTAATAATTTTAGATACCACATTATAATACAATACAAAAATATATTAAAAAATATATTTTTTATTTATTTATATTAACATAAATTTTAATATAATATAATTAGTGTTTTATATGTTTTGATACATTTAAATATGTGTAAGATAAAAAAAATATATTTAAATAAAACGTATCATTTGGATACATATTTTATGCATGACACGATATAAAAAACAAGTTTAATTTAATGTTATTATACGGATACACATTTAACATATTTAACACATTTTTTATATTTGTTTTAATTTAAAATAAACATATAAAAATTATTTTAAATTTTAATCTTTTAATTATGATATTTAATTAACTTTTTAATAGCATATAAATATTATTTTAAACATTTAATTATGATATTCATTTAATAATTATTATAAATTATATTTTTATATTAATAATATAAATACAATATAAATATTAATATTAATCATATAAATCATTATTTTATTATTTAATCTTTAGTAGTTTATCATTTTGAATTTGATACAAAAACTAATATAGTTATATCATATATATTAAATACATATTAAATGGGTATCAATTTTTTTTATTTTTTTTAATATGCAAGCAATATATAAATTACAGATAATTTACAATTATTTATTATTTTAATAATATTTTTGTATATATTCATGTTAATAGTATTTATTCGTATATATTCATATTAATTGTGTTTATTCGTGTCATGTTTAAACAAATTAATAATATATATATTAATCGTATCATATTACATTTAACATGTATAATAAACATGTCGTGTTTATGTTTAAAATTTAAATTCGTTTTATAATTCATGTTATATTTGTATTTTAATAATTATTGTTATTACATATGTCAAACATAATATGAGATATGATAAGAAAATACGAATTGTCAGGTCTAATATTAATGAATAATATCTAGAGAGCTTTTAATACACTCTACTGTTAATTCTTTATATTTTATTATTTTTTATTTTTTATAAATAAAATTATTTAATTATTTTTTTCACAAATACAGAATATAGATTTTTGATAAATTTTATAACTTATAAAAAATAAATTTCTAAAAAGTTATAAAATTTATTGGAAATGAATTTCTAAAAAATTATAAAATTTTTTCAATAAATTTTCAGAAAATTGAAAACTAAAAGTTTAAGAAAAATTACAAAAAAGGAGTTTTATTAAAAAATTTTATTAATTAATGTAATAAAAAGTTATTATTAAAAAAATTAAAAAATTTTAAAATTAATAAAAAAATTAATTTTGTTATTTTAATTTAAAAAATAAAACATTATGAGATCTTAAATAAACTAAGGATAAAATAGTAAATGTAATTTTTTATAAATTTAAAATTCATTATTTTTTAATAAATATATTTTTTTCTTTGTATCAATTATTAAAATTTTATAATAATTTTAACTAAGTTGAATTATTTGAAAAACTCTTTTAATCTATAATAGATTTTTTCAATAAAAATATTAAATTTTAACAAAATTATATAGTATTTAATAATATTATTTGTATAATTTCAAAAGATTTTAACTATCAATATATATCAAATTTGATATTTTTTTATCATCTTTCGTAACATTAAAAAATAAAATATTTAGTTAAAGTCTTATAAGATTTTGCTTTTTTTTAAAAATTAAAATAATAAAATTAACTTTTTTTATTAAAATTAAAATTTATTAATTTGTAATAATAATTTTTTATTACATCAATTAATAAAAATCTTTAATAAATTTATTTTTTTGTATTTTTATTTAAAATTTTATTTTTTTATGAAATTAGATTTTTAAAAAATTATAAAATTTTTCGAAAATCTATTTTTAATAAATTATAAAATTTGTCAAATATGAATATTGAAAAGTTTATAAAAAAATATAATTAAGTAGTTTTATTTATGAAAAATTTTGAAAAAAAAATTGTAAGGAGAAAAAGTGGGGTGTATTTAAAAACCCACAAATATTAAACCGAGAATTTGGATAAAATTTCTCGAAAAATCAAATTATCTCTCCTTTTTTCCTCTTCATGCCCATGGCAACTGCCTCCGCCTCCACCTCCACCTACACCTCCACCTCTGTACCCGTGTCTCTCCTTCACCAACTCAACTCCACGCGCTTCTCCACTACAACACACTACGCGCGCAAACTCAAACTGAATCGCTCTCAAAATTCTCTTCCCCACCAATCATGTACTTTACCGCTAATTTTACTCCCTACAGCGACGAAATCGAGAAGATTGAAGAACATCTCGAGTTCAGTATCTCGCGCTTATGTTACCGGACCTCCGATCGTGAGCGAGCCCGACCCGAGGATCGACGAGTCGGAGCCGGATAACGAGAAAGCTGAGCCGCCGAACTTGATAAATCGAAGGCTTCTTTGGAGTCTTCTGGTTCGGCACAAGCTAAGAATCATCGTCTCGGTTTTGGCTCTCATTGGCTGTACCTCGTGTACTCTCTCAATGCCGATATTTTCTGGCAAGTAATTTCGGTTAATGTGTGTTTTTGGATAACTGAAATTTATTCAAGTCCAAAAAAAAGCAGATATTAGTCTGCAGCCCTTTACAATTTCTGTTAATGTTAAGTTAAGAAGAAATTAGGAGATTCTTATGCTAATTAATTAAGATTAACGAAATGTACAGGACGATTCTTTGAAGTGCTTATAGGCGCCAGACCAGAGCCGTTATGGAAACTGCTTAGCAAAGTGGGGCTTTTATACTCATTGGAGCCGATTTTCACTGTAGTTTTTGTGGTAAATATGAATACCATATGGGAGAAGGTTATGTCAACACTTCGAGCTCAGATTTTTCGAAGAGTTTTGATTCAAAAGGTGTAACATAACTTACGTTTATCTTTCATCATCTTCTCAATAGATTTGACATTTAAATTATTGTATTATTACTTTTTCTAATTGTATTTTTTTTTCTTTGTATATGCAGGTGGAGTTTTTTGATAGACACAAGGTTTGTGAATCCGAAAGAAAATTGTAATTTTTAAAAATTTTTTAGTTGCTACTTGTCAAAGTCTAGTGTTTTGCCTCTTACAGGTTGGTGAGCTCAGTGGTTTGTTAACATCTGATTTGGGTTATTTGAAAGATGTTGTCAGCGAGAACATTTCAAGGGATCGTGGCTTCAGGGCACTTTCTGAGGCAAGCCACTCTATACTAAAGCAAAAGTGAGCTAGATGTTGTTGCCTAAATTTAAGCATGTAGTAGTTCAAATTATCATTGACTCTGATGGACTTGATTCTTCTTTCACTTGTATTATAGTTAAAAGTTCATGCATTGCAAATAATTTTAGCAGAATTGATTACGTTTTGAACGTATTTATTAGTTGAGACCAGTTGCTTAGAAACATTGTGTTTAGTCACGTGTGATTCTGTAGAAAGGATCATTTATGATTATATTTGTCATTTCATCTGGATTGTTTCATTTTTGTAGGTTGTTGGGACAATATGCATACTTTTTGCTCTATCCCCTCAACTAGCTCCAATTCTGGGTCTGTTGATGCTTTTTGTGTCCATTTCAGTTGGTAAATACATTCTCTTTGTAAATTTTGTTTATTTATCATGTTTGTTCGTTTTTTGAATTTATTCTCTAATCATACAAGTGATGTAGGGTATTGTCTTTATCCTCTTTTATTTGACTTTGTATCATTTAATTCTTATTGGGAATCTTACAGTATCAAGATTCATGGTTGTTTAGGTGTTCCCTTAACCTGAACTTTCTATGTATTGCACAAGAATACATACTAGATAGAACTACTGCCAAAACTTTGTGATACTTCCCTTGTAAAATTTGCTGTGGAAGGTTGGGTTGTCAATGGTTTTGAGCATTTTATGTTGTAGGCTAGTTACAAATTTAGCATTTGCTTATTTCTGCAATTCTCAATTTGTCATGTTTCACAAATATGAATATATACTTTTCTTCCTTAAACCTTTTTTCTCGCGACATCACCTAAATTTATCTGTTAATGATTACCTCATGCTCATTTTACTCCCATTTTGAAATATGTCTCACACTTATGCTTGTTCATGTCTTTTTGTCTGCTTTGATGATGATGATTGATTCTTTCAAGCTATATACAAGAGATCAACTGTACCTGTGTTTAAAGCTCATGGATTGGCCCAAGCATCTATGTCTGACTGTGTAACAGAAACATTTTCTGCAATTCGAACTGTATGTTCTCAAAATGCTCTGTCCATCTACCTACTTATCTGTATTTTGATGGAAATTTGATTTCCTTGAACTCCAAAATCAGACAAAGTCAATCACTTGATGATATCTTTGTGCAAGTTTTTGTGGGGAAAATCGTCTTTTTTTTTTTTTTATTGAAATCAGAAAAATACTGAGAATAAATAGAGAGATCTCACATGAGAAATCTCAAACCTCACTAGAAATTAAGAACTACTCAAACAGAAAAACAAATCTAATGACTCCCCCAATATTTGAACATGAAATTTAAATTTATTACCATAAAACCTAAATTCAAGAAAACCTAACTAAAAAATTCTCTAACTTTTCCTCACTCCCCCTTAAGTTGGAGCATAGATATCTATCATGCCCAACTTGCTGATTAGATGCTAAAAGTTGGGTTTCACGAGTCCCTTGGTTAAAATGTCTGCTAACTGCTGTGTGGTTGGAACAAATGGTAGAAAAATAACACCAGTCTCAGGTTTCTTCTTTATGAAGTGTAGGTCGCTACATGTTTGGTGCTATCATGTTGTACTGGGTTATGAGCAATGCTGATTTCTGCTTGGTTATCACATTACAGTTTCATGGGACGCCTGACAGATTTCCTTAGCTCCTCTAGAACTCAGTTTAACAACAATACTTCACTTATTCCATGTGCCATTGCTCTGAACTCCGCTTCAGCACTGCTTTGGACGACAACACTTTTTTTTGCTTCACTAAGTAACCAGATTACCCCAAACAAAGGTGCAGTACCCTGAGGTGGATATTCTATCTATGACAGATCCGACCCAGTCTGCATCAGTATAAACTTCAATGCACCGCTGTACATTCTTCCTGAAGAATAACCCTTTTCTAGGTATGCTTTTTAAATACCTCAGAATCCTATAGATGGCTTCAATATACTTTTCATATGGGCCGTGCATAAACTGACACACCATGCTAACAGCAAAAGCAATATCTGGTCATGTTTGGGGTAAGTAGATTAACTTGCCCACCAATCTTTGGTATCTTGCTGTATCCACAGGAACTCCCTCCCTTTTTTTTTTTTCCGAGCTTCATGTTGGGATCCATGGGATTATATAAGGACCTACAACCTTTCATTTCTGCCTCTTTCAAAAGCTTTGTTATGTATTTTCGTTGAGATACAACAATCCCTTTCTTGGAACGTGCCACTTCCATACCAATAAAAAATCCCATCGACCCAAGATCTTTACTCTCAAACTCTGAAGCTAGACTTATCTTTAACATGTCCATCTCTATTGCATCATCACCCGTGAGAATGATGTCATCTACATAGACTATCAGAACTGCAATCTTCCCTTTGGCTGAAAACTTCATGAACATAGTGTGATCTGTTTGTCCTTGAAGATAGCCTTGCCTTTTGACTGATCAAGTAAACTTCTCAAATTGTGCTCTAGGAGATTGTTTAAGTCCATACAAGGATTTCTTTAGTTTGCGCACCTTGGAACTGAACCTTTTTTCAAAGCCAGGAGGGGAATCCATGTCTACCTCTTCCTTTATATCACCATTGAGAAAAGCATTTTTAACATCAAGTTGCTGCAGAGGTCAATCCAAATTGGCAGCAATTGACAAGAGCTATCTTATTTTATTCAGCTTTGCAGTCGGTGCAAATCTTTTTGAGTAACGAATGCCATATGTCTAAGGGAGACCATTGGCTTCCGACTGAGCCTTATATCTTTCCAATGAGCCATCTGAGTTGAATTTGATTGTAAACACCCACTTGCAGCCAACAGTAGACTTCTCTTCCAGTAAGGTCACTACCTCCCAAGTTTTGTTCTTCTCAAGAGTCCTTATTTCTTCAAAGACAGCTTCCTTCCACATAGGGACATTGAAAGCAACCTGTACATTCTTGGGAATTCCTACATTGGAGAGTTGTGAGGTGAAAGCAACGAGGGATGATGGTAGACGTTCACAGGATACAAAATTGGACATTAGATATTTAATACAAGATCTAAAACCCTTTTGATAGGTAATAGGAATATCAAGATGACCAAGTGACTCATACTGTGATAAGGAACAAGGAGGACCCAACTCGGGAAGAGTTTTACCTGACTCATGATCTGAATGCTGATTTGTTCAACAGATTCATGACATTGCTGCAAACTGGAGTTATCCTTTCCTTGAATGTTGTTCTTCATTGAGTACACAATACCCTTAAAAACTTTTCCATTTGATTTATTTCCAGCATCTATTCCCCTTGTGAATTTGATCAGTTAATGGCATTAAGGTTGGCTGTCCTATGGTTTCAATACCTGAAATATCAGTTTCCAAGGCTTTAATATGATAAAAATTTTTTGTGGGGAAATTATCTTTTTTCATTTGATTGAAATCAGAAAATTACTGAGAATAAATTGAGAGAGATCTCACACGAGAATCTCAACTTCCCTGGAGATACAAATCTAACAACTCCCCCAATATTCCAATATGAAATTGGAATTTATTATCTGAAAAACTAACAAATTCCGAAAACCTAACTAAGAAATTCCCTAACTTTTCCTCACTTTGTTTTACATTTGGACAAATGTGCAAATAAAAGCTTTGATGTCGGTTTGATGATTTAATAATAACTTTGGTTGTCATAGGTAAGATCCTTTGGTGGGGAAAAGCATCAAATGTTAATGTTTGGTAGCCAGGTAAGATATTGTACATTGGCTCTTTTATATAATTACTAAAGCTTTTAGTGGCTCTACATAATTTTTCTTGCAAGTTCTTTGGTGCACTTAACGTTGATTTTCAAGGGTTTTGGCAGGTTCTTGCATATCAGAAAAGTGGTATAAAGCTAGGCACTTTCAAGTCCATAAATGAATCTTTGACCAGGGTTGCTGTCTATATTTCTTTACTCGCCTTATACTGCCTTGGAGGAAGCAAAGTGAAGGCGGTGTGCATTTCAATCTTTGGATACCCATTCTCTTAACTATCTTAAATATTCTCGTACTTCAGTTTTACCTTACATCCTTGTGCTAATTTCCTGTGGCTTTAACCATTTTCCTCTGAGCTTATTATTTTTCATTTTTCATGCTAAATCTCTCTCTAATATGCTTATTGTAGGGTGAACTGTCTGTTGGAACTGTGGCTTCATTCATCGGATACACTTTTACTTTAACCTTTGCTGTGAGTTCCGTTTCATTCTCTGCACTCCCTTATATTTGCACCTTTTGATATGTGCTGCGTGATAATGCTTATATCAGGTTCAAGGGCTGGTTAATACATTTGGAGACCTTCGGGGAACTTTTGCTGCTGTTGAGAGGATTAACTCTGTTATATCTGGAGCAGAAATTGATGAAGCCCTTGCTTATGGTTTAGAAAAAGAAATTCAGAAAAAAGAAGTTGGTGATGAAAATATCAAATTGTTCATCTCTAATGGTGCTTTTGAGAAAAGTCAACAATTAAATTCACATTACATGTCGGCACTGAAGTCAGCAAGCAATGTGGGAAGATTAGCTTGGTCAGGCGATGTTTGTCTTGAAGGTATATCAAATGCAGTCTGCTTAATTTCTACGAGGCACTCTTCTATTTTTCAAAGATTTGTATCTTCTTATTTGGCTTAACTTTAAGCTACTTCCCATCCCCAAGATAAAATTTTTTTCAGTTTTCAAAGTGAAAAGGAAGTTTTTGGTAAGAGGCAAGCTTCATGCATATGATCTTACTTTATTTTCGCAATAAGCTCCTTCTAAACAACTTAGACATTTTATGAAGCTTAGATTTAAAGCAGAAGGTTAACTTTTGAAGTAAAATCTTTCTTTCTCTCTCTCTCTCTCTCTCTCTCTCTCTCTTCTTTTGTACTTAAATCAGCTTTGTGCAAGTCCTGCAGGTAAATTTAATTTTGGAACAATGATCAAAGATTCATAAAATATCGTACTGCACCAACTAGTGTGCTTATTTGTCCTACAGATGTACATTTTTCTTATCCTTTAAGACCTGATGTGGAAATTCTTAATGGTCTTAATTTAACTCTAAAATGTGGAACTGTGACCGCTCTGGTGGGCTCAAGTGGTGCAGGCAAAAGTACAATAGTACAGCTATTGGCACGCTTCTATGAGGTTTGAAAGAAAATTGTATTGGTTGGCTTCTATTTCCCTTGCCATAGCATTATGAGACCTGACTATGCAAACAATTGATGTTTTGTTCTTGCAGCCAACCAGTGGTTGTATAACAGTTGCTGGAGAGGATGTTCGAACATTTGACAAGAGTGAATGGGCTCGTGTTATTTCAATAGTGAATCAAGTATATATTTAAATCTTCACACCTAAATAGTTATTTAGTCCTTACATACGAAGGCATGGTACTCCCAGAGTAAAATTCTCCTGCCTTCTGAACCTCAGCATGATCAATCAACTGACCTGGTCAACTTGCTTTATAAGCCAACCTTTCAACTCATTCTTAGGATAATGCTTGTACAGGTTAAAAAGCAAAACACTACGGTCAATAGTGCCCCGGATATTCTTTGACTGGTATGAATAGCATTCTTTGACTTAGTTTGTTATTCTGTTGACAAAGAGGAAATGATCACAAGTTTGTCCCAACCAGAATAGACAATGGACTCCGGGCTGCTGCCATGCTTATATGGACATATTTAATGCTGTAGTGTGTTTATTTAGATTGCAAAAGTTTACAGAAGCATTTTATGCAAACCTAGCAACATTCATGTACTGCCACTGCTGAATTTTTTTGTTGTTAATTAGGTGGATTGAATTCATAGCATTTTCGTGCTGGATTGATTCAGATGGCTTTGTAGGTTTAAGGAATAGGTTGAATTTAGTTGGTTAATCTTGAATGTGATATAAAACTTGTATAACTGAAAACAAGTTGCAGAATGTGCTGATTATTCTTAATGTTTAAGGAATTGCTTTATCTGACATTTTACTATTTCTCAATGTTGATATGGATAAAATGACTCAGGAACCTGTTCTATTTTCGGTCTCTGTTGGAGAAAATATTGCATATGGGCTTCCTGATGATGATGTATCCAAGGATGACATTATTAAGGCAGCAAAAGCTGCAAATGCTCATGAATTTATAATTTCTCTTCCACAGGTTTGTTGATTTGATCTATGCATCTGTCTTAGTTTTGCAAAGAATTTTTATTTTCTGCTAATTTTTTGTTTGATTGAAAGGGCTATGACACACTGGTTGGTGAGCGTGGAGGCTTGCTGAGTGGAGGACAGAGGCAGGTAATATATTAAGAGGTCAGATAGACATGCATGGTGCCGGTGCATTCTTAGATTATGTATGTATGAATGAGAGGGAAGGTTGGAAATGCTGATCGATTCTTATTTTTTAATCTTCAGAGAATTGCTATTGCAAGAGCTCTCCTCAAGAATGCTCCTATCCTGGTCCTTGATGAGGTGATGTATTTGATCGCCTTGTGCATCTGCACATTCTCTCCATACTGATCATTCTCAGCCTGATTCAAGACATGAAGCCTGAGCATTACAATGCCAGGTCCTATATGTCTTCATGAAGGCTTGCTTGATTATATTTTGAGATGGTAGTGAACTCCTTTTCCATTTACTTAAGCATAAATATTTAAATGCATACTTATTATTATGTTGTTGCTGCAGGCAACAAGTGCTTTAGATGCAGTTAGTGAGCGCCTGGTCCAGGATGCGTTAAATCATCTAATGAAAGGGAGAACAACCTTAGTTATTGCTCATAGATTAAGCACAGTTCAGAATGCCCATCAAATTGCTCTTTGTTCCAACGGCCAGATAGCAGAGCTGGGGACCCATTATGAATTGCTGGCTAGGAAGGGGCATTATGCTTCATTGGTTGACACCCAAAGGCTGGCATTTGAATAATATTGAATTCCATAGATATCATTTCCCAAACGATGAAGATTAAAGAAAGGATGAAGATGCTGTCTATAACTATTTGAATGACCAAAAATGCGAGTAGCATCTTTGACTTTCACTAGTGCCATTCATTTTTGCTGTAACCTTGATTTTGCTCGAGCTAGACAACTCAGTCATGGAGGGTTATGGAGATGAGTTGGCAAAGTTCAACTGACCTGACCTTCCATAGCTGTTTGACACAAATTGTATTTTTTTTTCCCAAAGTGAAATTTGATAAAAAATTGGATAACAAATGGATCATTTTGTTATTTTTGTTATATTTTTATTATATTTTTTTTCTAATTAGTTTACACAAATCAGGGAAGGTTCCAAGTAACCCTTGAGCCTCTTTGAGCATTGTATATTTTTTTTTTAAAGAAAATTTAAAAAATTATGAGAAATGCTCTTATATTTTTATATATTAATGAATGACATTGCAACAAGTAACAACATTATTTTCTGCAGTGAAAGTTGCATGCTTTCAGGAAGAATTGGGTAAGGTGACGACAGCATTCAGTTTGGATAGGCATTCAGTTGGAAGACTGAAAGAATTCACGAAAATATCATCAATAGGATCAAGGGATGCTATCGCAACAAATTTGCAATTCTCTATATCCAACCTCTCTCCTCTTCCACGTCTAATCTTTCCTTTCCGATTCCTCAGCAGTTAAGACTCTCTTCACCAGCAATGGCAGTGCTTTGTAAATACTCCCAACAGAGAAGCAGAATTTGGCCAAGAATTCCAGATCAACCTAAAAAAGCAAATGCAAGATACAATCCCAATTATTTAAACATATATAGCTTACCTTGCCAGATTCTTGGTTGATGTTCCCTTTAACGAGTTGAGGAAAAATGTCAATCTTCAAAAACGGTGGCAATGGGGCAATCCAAGGAACTTGGTTGTTGCACTTGTCAGTGGTGGAATATACAGTGTTTTAAGGTCAAAATTAACTGAAAGTTCATTGCCATCTGTGAGCAATTTGTAACAGTTCCAGTTCCTGTTCCCCCTTGTGCATTAAGTCAGGATATCTGGAAAATCCCAAGCTTGAAAGCTCTCAGGGTCTTGAAGATAACACTGTAGACATTCGTCTTTGGCAGTTGGGTTTCAATGGATTTGGTCGTGGTGGAAACGGTTTCGCCTTTGTTTGGTGCATATAAGAAGAGAAGCCAAGACTGTAGCACACATTTTTGCAGTAGAATCATGATCAGCTAATCCATGTGGAATAACCAAAAGCACTAATTATTTTGTTCTAATGGATGCAGCATACCAAAATATGAGGCTGGTTTTTGCTGGAGAGTTAAGTCCATGTCTTTAACAGTGGAAAAATCATGGCGTCGGGTGAAATTTCGTCGGTTTGATGCATGATGGTCATTTGTGAAGCAAATTGGCTCCGAATTCAACGTTTACATTTTCAAAATCTACGACCAGTGGGAAGATGAAGATTTGACAGAGCCAATGTCAGTTGCTGAAACATTCAGAGCCAACGCCACTTTTCATGCTTTGTTTCTTTTCCTTTTTCTTAATCTATCTATTTTTAAAGTACCTTCATTGGTATCCACAACTTCGATGGATTAACTTGAATATGAGCATTAAAATGATGGCACCCATATCCTACTTAATGACAAAAAATCAACAGGGCACTCATAGAACACAAGGGGAAGGGATACACAACATTACACTTGCTGTTACTTGTACAATGCCAAAATATGAAACCTGGAAAACTTCATATCATTGCTTTATACATGAAGAAAAACCCCAGCCCAGGCACAACTTGTTACTCCCTACCTGCCAAGTATCTACCAGTGAAAAAGCTAGAAGCAGCACTCCAAGTGACATACCTCTCAATATCACTCACTTCAAGGAGGTGCTAAGCACCGGGAATCAGAAACATGGGCACAAAACACTACCCAATACAAGAATTAGCCATAAAACCTTTTACATAGAAATGCAGTTTCTGCAAATGTTTACCTCAATCAGAACTATCCTGATTCCAAACTGACAGCTCAACACACAAGAGATAACCTGAGGGATGTAGCAGTTGGAAGATTTGTGCATGATGCCCATCGGATAACTGATTCAGACACCATGAAATCAAGTGGTTCTCGCTCACCATGACCAATGGTGCGGTTCCTCTTGCTGTGAAAGGCCAATATCCTAGACCCACTTGATCCCCCTGTCCTTCTAAATTCAGCTGTCTTGTTTTCCATTTCTCTTGCCTCGGGCCCACAGCATGGAGAAGAATCTGGAAACTTGAGCAACTTATCCAAGCCTGCATCTGCAAGATGATGCAAGACATAGTTTCAGAAACCAATGCATGAGAGCAAATATTAATAAGATTTGTAAGATGTTTAATAAAAGTTACCTCCATGAATTCTGTCCGTTCCAGTAATGTTGGTTGAGAAATCTAATTTGCAGTTCTCTTGTTCAACCACAGAACCAGGACTGAAGAATGCGAAGCTTGGCATTGAGGGAATGGGAGAAGAAAATTCTAAGCCATCAGAATTACTGCTGCGGAAAGAAAATCCACCCAATTCAAAGCAAGGTGTAGATGGCTCCACCAAGAAAGAAGAAAATGTCGTTCTGCATGTTAGTGCAGGTGACTGAACATCATTAATGATTGGCAATCCAGCACCAAAGCTGATATCTTGATCCCTAGACAAAGAGAATGAGCCACTACCAAATTCCCACTCTCCACAACTTTTGTATACAAGCTCACCTGATTCTTCATAACTTGATTCATCATTCTTCATCCATATATGATCTGAAAAGAGATGATTCAAAGTTAAGCTTCTTAAGAAGGGGGATATTCCAGTAACAGGAAAGAAAGGGAGACTCTGAAGTAACTTCTTGGGGCCTAGTGGCCTATCTATACCAATCAACCAAGCTGGTAGCTTTATTCAATTTAATAAATCTAGCACAGAAGCTGCTGGAATTTCACGAATTATGAATATGGTAAATACACAATCCCAATATGAATTGTGTTGAGAAATTACAAAGTCCATTAATGCAGCAGCCTTCTTCCATACATAACATTAAGAGAAGGGGCCTATTTGAACAGTCTTGGAGCATGATCATAACGGATGATGTTATACAGAAAGTGTAATTACACTTACCATCAGCTTATATGAATTAGGAAAAGAATTTTGATTTCCTGCCTAACATACATCATCTCGATTTGGTTCCTTTGAACTGCACAAATCCCTATATTACAAAGGTTTAACTGGAGATCGAAGATGTTATTAAAGCTGAGACATTTAGCTTCTCTTTTCATTCAGCAGCATGAGAGGCTTGAGGTTTAGAAGACTCATGGGAATATCTATAGGGCTGCATTTGTGTGGGAGGAAATCAGGCACAAACAAGGAAAGTTTGACTGGCACAAGCTAATCTGGTTCCAGTTATATATTCCGGAGACATGCTCTGATTTTATGCATGGCTATACTTGACAGGCTGCCAACAAGAAGCAGGCTTAGCTGTTGGGGGCAGGTGGACACTGTAAATTGCCTTTTTTGCAATGGAGTGGAGACCATAGATTACATATTTTTCACGTACGAGTATCCAAAGCAGGTATGGAAAGAAGTTCTACTTGCTTGCAGCATAAACAGGAGGGTTGGAGATTGGCACACTGAGCTGCAATGGGTTAGGGAGAGGCTCAAGGGAAGAATCATTTCAGTCATACTAAGATTGGCAATGTGTGCATGCATCTAGCATCTTTGGAGGGAAAGCAAGATTACATGGAAGAAAGAACAGCTCAGTTAATTCACTCTAAGTTTTTATTGTGAAAGTCATTAAATTTAGACTATCTGGTCTAAGAAATATAGCTGGGAACCAAGTAAACAAGGATCTTTGTAAGGCTTGGGGGCTGGATGGTTCTATATTTGTACTTGGATCTCTACGCTTGCAGTTGTACGTTATGTAGCAGCTTATACTGCTTCTTTGGACAAATACAAATTTTACTTGTCCAAAAGAAAGAAAGATATAGAATTTTCATTATACATATTTCCATTTACTTTAATAGCCACAAATAATAGATGATTAAACTACTATTTTAACACCATCTGCATGCCCCAATAAATTAATGATGAGAGTTTGCAGGAATTTCCAACCTACCTAAAACCTGAAGAGCAGTAAGCCTTTGAAAAGGATCTGTATTGAGCATTCCCCTGACTAAATTCTTTGCAGAATCAGAAATGCGATCCCAAGGATCTGATGGGAACTGCAGATCAGCTGCCCTCACAGCATCAAATATTCGTGACTTGGTCTTACCCCAAAATGGTGGTGTTCCACTAAGAAGTATGTACAGAATCACCCCAGCGCTCCAAACATCAGCAGCCTGATTATATCCCCCAGCCAAAACCTCAGGTGCTATATAAAATGGACTCCCAACAGTCCCACGCAAACACTGCCCTGTTGGTGACATACGTCAAAATAGTTAAAAAAACATAAGGACCTCACAATTTTTGAGGAATCAAGCAAGCGCTGTGAGAAAAATGTTCTTGGTTAGAGAAAGGGAAAGAAGAAGCGTATAACTCTACCAGGCTCAATATACGTTGCAAGACCAAAATCTGCTAGTTTGATTGGTGATGATGATGCTTTTGTAGCTAAGAGGATATTCTCTGGCTTTAAATCTCTATGAACAATACCAATTTCATGACAATAGAGGACCACTTGCATCAGATGCCTGAAGAGAACTCTTGCCTCTACTTCATAGAAACGCCCATACTTCTCTAAACGGTGGAAAAGCTCCCCTCCTGCACAAAGCTCCATCACCAAATGAACATAGTCCTCGTCCTCATAAACAGCCTTTAGATCTACAACATTTGGATGCCCTGATAACCTAGTCATTATTTCAATTTCAAGCTTGACACACCGTGCATCATCAGAGGTTACCAATCTATCTTTAGATATGGATTTGCATGCCAGCACCTCTCTGGTCAACTTATCTGAGCACAACCTAATAACACCAAATTGACCCCATCCCAATTGCTCTCCAAGAATGTATCGATCTTTCAAATTTGCAGTCTGCTCAGTCTCCAAAATGGTTTCACTCAAGCTTGCAACTTTGTAGCAATTACATGGCTGTTTTGGCGTTTCTCTGATGCTGTTGCTCTTGGCAACAGCCATAATGCGTTCTAGCCGTACAACCAATCCAAAAATGATTAAGAATCTCAGTTTATTACCCTATGTTTTATGAGGCTTGTAGTAACTTAGCCTCCCAAAAAAACAAGCTAGTCAAATTTTTAGGTCAAAATTTTGATTTATATAATTTTCTATTCACATAACTCTTCACCAAATCCATACTTGAGGTCAAGACTCCTAAAACATAAGACTTTCATGGCAAGTTGTTGAACTCTGATAGCAACACTCACCGTGAAGAATACGATACCAGAAATCATAACAACATGATATTAAAATGTGAACAGTGAGCCCAAAACATCATAATGCACAGCTGAGGATTCATCTTGGTTCTCATCAGTTTGGCGGGATCTGTAAATAAATTGAAATTATCAGCTTTTAATAAAGCACTTTAATTCAGCTCCCAAAATATGCATTCGTTGTGGATTACATTGGAAATTATAATGCCAGCCAAGTCAAATTTGGGGAAAACCTCATATAAAATACATCAATACGTTTTGTTAGCTCAACAAACTTTAATCGAAGCTCAAAGAAGAAATGAATCATATTCTAACATCAAATAAGAAAACAAACTTTATCGTACCAAAACTTCGACAAAGAAAAAGATCACCCACTGAAAACCCTAATCACCTAAAAGACCCAGCCATTGCAACCCAAATCAACTCAACTACTCAAAAGCACCAATACCCCATTAGTTAAAAAGGCAGTAAATAACAAAACAAACGCAAAATTCAACCCAAACCCATCAAAATTTACCTCAAAACAAAGCACCCCCAGACCCAAAATCTTCCTTTCCCACAAAGAAAGAAACCAAAACCCACTTTTCAAATTCAAACTTCCAAAAAAATCAAATAATAAAAACACCACAAAAATTATAGAAAGAGAAACAAACCTGGCTAGAGAGAGAGAGAGAGAGAGAGAGAGAGAGCACCACAGAAGAAGAAGAAGAAGAAGTCCGTTGGAGCAGTGATAGAAAGCTCCCCCCAAGACAGACCTCTCTCTGTGGGCTCTTCTTTTTGATCTCTTCTTTTCTAGGTTTGTTTTTGAGGAAATTAAGAAAAAAAGGAAAGAAAAAGGATGAAGAGTTGAAAACAAGGCTTTGAGGCTGAGGTATCGCTGTTGGGTACTTTTGTTTTGTTTTGTTTTGTCTTTTTTTTTTTTTTTCTTTGAAATGGAAAGAGAAACTCTCTCTCCTCGGACTCGAAGCTTCAGTTTAATTCAGTTTAGTTATATATTATATAATATATGTTTTTTTTTACTAAAACGTGAATTTATGTCCAAGTCCCGTTAAACGGCTAATTGACTTCCACAACCCGAAACGTTTCATATTTTTTTTGTCCAAGAGGTATTCGACAACGTTTTTCGCCTCTAAATCCTATCCAATACCCCGTCACCAATTTCACTCCAAAGAAAAATCCTCTCTACATTTCTAAAAGGAGCCATATTTGCGACGATGGAGCTGGTCAATCTTCTGGGTTTCGGTTCATAGGTAAATACGCTTTAACCATGGCTTAGTTAATCATATGAAGGTCTTAAAGTATGCATTTTTTTTTATAATCTAAGTTAGTTGCATAAGATTGGCATTGAATTTTGTGGAAATGGGGATTTTGGTTTTTGTTCTTTTATTGTTGATTATTGCTGGAAAGTTTGTTCAAGCGAAGTGCATTAGCTGCTGTATTGCCCAATTTTGCTTCAAGAACAGATTTTTTTTATTAAGCTCAGATTTAAATTGGCTCAAGTTGGGTAGTAGAAGGGTCTAGATGAGATTTGAGTTATGGGTTTTGTCCTTGACTTTGTTGTTTATTATTTGTTGGAGAAGAAATTAATTGAAATTTTCCAATGTAGGCTGAAAGTATTTTGTAGTTAGACCAGTATTTGTTTCACTTACTTACGAGTTATGAGTTGAAAAGGAAAAAAGAGTTAAAGGGATTATATGAAGGATAACATTTTTTTGGCCTAGAGTTGAATTGGGCTGCTCCTAATGCCTGAAGGGTCTCATTAGATGTGAACACAACTATGCATTACATTGCAATGCCATTGATTGTCCAGCTGAACCACGTATGTCGATGGATGCTTGCAGACCACTCAGTCAATGGCTGCTTTTGTTGAAAATGATACAAAATTCTATTATTTCATTATTATACAAAAAATACAGTATATACACAATTTCCTCTTTCTTTTTTTACTAATTTCATTCTCGTTCAAGAGGTTCACCTTCAACTTTTTCCTCTACCTGTTTTTGTCAGGAGAGGCATTCTGATTGACAAATTTTGATGAAGAATTTATAACATCACTTATGAGTTTGACATCTGCAAGCCTCCTCAAATTTGGTTTGAGTCCTCAAACCAAACTTTCATATAGAAAGTCATTCATTTCACGATCATCATCTGGGTTTCTTAACATCAGGGCTGTGCAAGAGAATGGAGGTCCTCGTAGACTGGTTGACATCATAAGGCTTGTGCCAGATATCTCTAGGAATTACTTTCGAAGTCCCTCTCGAAGGGCACTTTTTGGTGGAATTTCCTTGCTGGGAGGTTTTTATGTTGCACAAACAATCTCCCTGTCCTTTGGAGCTTTAGGTGTCAATGATGTTATTGCAGCAGTATTATGTGTGCTCCTGACTGAGTATGTGACAAGGTTTTATTACAGCCGTCCAAAGGTAACCTTCCCCCTTGCTCTTCTCAACAATTTCAAGATGGGTTTCACCTATGGACTCTTCATTGATGCTTTTAAGCTTGCCAGTTGATTATATCCAGTTGTCTTGATACTTGTGATGGTCATTAATTCGTAGTATTAAGTTTTTAAACCTCTCAGTGTTCCTATAATGTATATTTTCTACCATACCTTTTGCCCTAATCTTTTGTCACATCCTCTTTTTCCCGTGTTATTATTACCTATTTATTTTCTTCCTTCTAATTTGCTCCAAGTGCCTCTATGCTTCTTTTTTGTTGCTGTAAGTATGTAAACTCTCTTCTGTCTACATGTTGCTGAAGCAAGCAATCAGACCAAAATTTTTGATGTATTATCCTAATTGTTATGTTGTAAAGCTATTAACTTGGTGATCCAGACATGTCTCTCCCCATTGTAACTTTTGTACTGAATTGGATGTGGCCTTTTGCTTTTTCATTTACTTACCTGGAGAAACTGCAGTAGTAGTTCTGCAGTTGCTGATTTGTATTGGTGCGTGCAATTCCACATCCTTTCTTTTCTTGAAACTGTTAAAGATGAAGCTTATATAAAGATATATACCATTGGAGGCACAAAATGCTTATGGACAGTGCCTGCTTAATAGTTCTATGAGGTGGTGGTTTCGAATAAACATTCCAATTAGCTTTGCCTGTGCCTATGAATATTGTAAGGTTCCTTTTAATTAATCATGTATCCCAGTTCCCAAAAGGACATTTTTCTATGCCATGCCCTATTTATAACAATTGTATACATGCTATGACCAACCGTGTTGCAATATATGCTGTTGATCTTGAGGTAGTCCCTCACTCAAGTCCCTCATCCTAATCTTCCCCAAGAGACGAACTTGGATGGTCATTGACTGGTCCTTTAGTTACACCGTCTTCTTAAAGGTGCTCGCTCTTTAATTTCTCAGGCAGCAGTACCTCAGTGAAAGATTCCAAGATGGATTGCATATCCTTGTCTCTAATGGAAGATGGTGAACTTGAAACATAGATACTAATGGAAGATGGTGCTCAAAACTGCTTTATTAGTATGTATGTTTCCATGAATTGTCTACCAGAATCAGAATATCCGGAATGCTTGGTTCTTCTTTCATCCTACTTGGCTGGGTGGGAGAGCTTTTCTGATCACTTCTTCACTGCTAAGTAGATAGAATTGAAAAAGAGAAGGAAATTTGATAATAAAACCAAGAGAGATATAAACGAAACCGTTTCTGTAATAGCCTGTAGCCTGTAGCCTGAATCGGAGATATCAAATTCGTCAATCTACTAAGATGATTTTTGCATCTTTTAAAACAAGTTCTTTGGAGTTGTTGCCTCTAAAAAAACCCCAATTCTAGTTTTGCTGGTATTATTTCAATGGTGGTTTACATGGTTCATGAATTACTGCACAATCATTAAACCTGTTTTTTTGTTTTTCAGAAAAAAAAAAAAAAGCAAGAGAAGGGTTTCTCTCCAATAAGTCGCAATTTATGGATCGTGTAATAAGATAATGAGAAATTAAAAAATGATAAAATTCTTTAAAAAAAAAATGAAAATGAGAAGAATTGATTAACAGGTAATCATTAAAAAATATATGATAAATAAAATTATTTTATAAAGATATTTACTCCCATCTCCGCCTCTCTCCCACCGGGCAACAACAAAACCAAACTTCCCACCACTCCTACTTCTTCCCCCAAGCACGTTCTCTTTTCTTTTTGTGGTTTCCCTCCCAATTGCTGCAGCACCAAAGAAAGGGAAAAAGACTGACTTCTTTCGAGTTAGGGTTTCAGCGATCTCTTTCATTTTCAGATTCTCTCCGACCAAAATAGGCGATTATGGATTTATACGGCATCAACGGGCGCGTCTTCAACCGACACGTAGGTCCATCAGCTGCCCCAAGCGACTCCTCCAAACACCAGAAAGTTTGTTACCATTGGCGGGCCGGTAAATGCACCCGTTTCCCATGCCCTTTCTTGCACAGCGAACTGCCTCCTGCTTAGGGCTCCACCGCCGTCAGCGCTAACGTATCCGATGCCCCCAAACGTTTCGCCGATGATTCTGGATTATTGGTTCCGGCCTCACGACGAGGTCCCAACTTCAATAATAATCATAATAATAGTTGGGGAAGAATGGGGGCTAAGAAGGTGGTTAGAAAAACGGAGAAAGTATGTAATTATTGGGTACAAGGGAACTGTAATTAGGGTGATGAGTGTAGGTTTTTACATTCTCGGAGTTTAGGGGAGGGTTTTACCATGTCGAGTCACCTTGATGGGCACCAAAAAGTAAGTGTCTTGACTTTTTTTTTTTTTTTTTTTTTTTGTATGTGGTGTTAATTCGTGGGTGAATGCGATTCTGATGATGCTGACGGTGTTGTTTCGTGGACAGGTTGTTAGTGGAATTGCGTTGCCAGCAGGTTTGGATAAGCTTTATACGGGAAGTAAAGATGAGACTGTGAGGGCTTGGGATACAAATTCTGGTCAGGTTGTGCTTAACTTTATTTCTTTCCTTTTTTTTTTTTTGGAGTTTTAATTTAGTTTTAGTTTCTGGGAAATTAAAAAAGGGAATTATTATATGCGTCAGAACTTGATTCAGCACTGTTCTTCCATCGATTTCAAGAACAGAAATCTCCACAAAACTGTTATGAAACTTTTGTTATACTGTCCTGTATGATCAAATTATTAAAGAAAAAGATGGCAAGAGGCAATTGCTTGGTAAAAGAGTCTGTTTGCACAATAAGATAACTTAAAGGTTGCTACTTATGTTTCTACGGAATCACTAAATTGCTAAACATCCATGGGATCATGCAGATCGCCTACTAATTTATTATGAAGTGAAAGTAAAAGGAGTGTCACTTATAGATGGAAATTACTTCCCGTAGTCTTTATGTGCTAGTATTTTTCAGCAATTATCATTTAGGTAGATCCTCTTAATTATTATGTTTTTGTCTGATGTTCTTTGTGGCATTTTATGTAGTGTATGGGTGTGATTAATCTGGGTGGTGAAGTGGGTTGCATGATCAGTGAAGGTCCTTGGCTGTGTGTTGGCATACCAAATGTTGTCAAGGTAAGATTTGAGGCAAATTCTCTACCAGTTGTTCTTCTTTATTTTATTGTTATTTCATTTCAACTTAGAAGAATGATTATTTACCTGTTCCGGGCTCAACAACGATCATATTTCAGGCATGGAACACCCAAACTAACCAAGAGTTCAGTCTTAGTGGACATGTTGGGCAAGTTTATGATATAGTTATGGGTAATGATTTGCTCTACTCTGGTACACAGATAATATTCTAAATATTAGTGTATTGTTCTCATTTTCTTTATTTCATTTGAAATTCCATGTTCACAGAGTATGGTCACTTACCTTTAATCATCATGTTTTCTGTTATCTTTTCTGCCATGTTATTGTGCCACAATAATTAATGAAATTAAGGCATGTTCTTTTTGGTGGTGTGACATTCATTGTCTCATAAAGTTGCCACTGACCTTGAAAGAAATGTAATAGATGAGACGAGATTTTCTAAAAGAGCCCTAGATTTTTGAGGAGTCAAAATTGAAATTTCCGATGGATGAGTCCCACTCTGGGAATGCACTTATGTCACATTTCACAGACTACCATCTCTCTTCTCCAGCACTCAATTCCTGATTCTCAGGAAACAATATCTGTTTTCTGCAGGATGGAACTATATTGGCATGGAAATTTAACGCCATCACCAACAGCTTTGAACTAGCAGTGTCACTTAAAGGTCATACACTTGCAGTTGTGTCATTAGTTGTTGGAGCTAATAAACTATACTCTGGTTTGATTGACCATTCTACGACCATTCTATAAAGGTAAGGTAGTTTTAGTCATCCAAGTATTTGATATCGCTGATTGAGAAACTTTGCAGTTTCAAACCACCATTAATGGTATGTTTTGCTGTTATTCCCTTATTTTCTTTTTTCTTTCTTAAAAGATTATCATTTGTCCTAACATATTGGTTGTTTTCTTCCAGGTCTAGAGTTTGGAAACTTTGCAGTATCTACAGACAGAGCACACTAATTGTCACGGACCACACCTTCCTTATACCAAAACCACACGTCTGTGTAGCACCAAGACTACTCATCGTTGAGGTCAGGCTTTCGTGAGTCCATTTCTTCATGGACAATTCAATATCGATCCTTCAAGTCTCATACACATGAGCCTTTTCTTGGCTCTGACCCCTTAAGGTCTCTCACCACATTCTCAAACTCAATAGGGAGGAACCCAACTCCCTTTGTATCATCAGCTCGCAAGTCTTAGGGTGGCCCTGAGCACCCATCCATGCCTGCAAGCACCAAGGTCCTGAGCATTGACCCTCCTTGAATTCACATAGGGGTGTGCAGCCCCGGTTCTCTTGATTGTATCCCCATCTAGCATGGTGAGAACCCAACCCCATGCTTGCACGGACATACACAAGCTCTTGTGCCTGGAACTCGAAGGCACAACACGAATGTTGGTCAGCAGCCAGCCCAGAGCCACACTAGGCTCATCTCGTTCCCTGAAACTTCTACCTTAGGGTCTCGGCCCTTAACCTCACTTTAGGCTACCCACACGCTTGATGAACAACCAACATCATGGCCATCCCACATCAAGGGACTTGGGTGTGCTACCCTAGCCGCAGTACACCTCTATTGAATGGCCACAAGGGTATAGTAGTGTGCATGTTTGCTAGGCTGCTCATCCCTCAGGCTTGATGGTGCCCCTCCTACACAAATGCCATCTCATGATCCTTGGTTATTTATCGATTAGGTTCAAGGAGGGGAAATTGAAAGGCATAGTGAACACTATCATTTAACTTCGTGGTTTAATGCAAAGGTGCGATATGAGACCCGCCGACCCTAATCGTCCTCAGGTTTACCATGACTTGAAGAGACATCGTGCCACACTCGTGACTTGACAATGCCTGCCTAGTTAGACACCACATAATGCCTACGAGTTGCTAACTTTAGACTAGTAAGGCCCCACCTACTTGCTAGCCAAGGGGGTGGTGGAAAGCTGACACTAGACATCCCCTTATAAAAAGCATAAGAGGCTTCTCAGCTATGCTACTAGGAACCGTAAGAATATCTAAAATGGGAACACTTTTCTTCCTAGCCATCTTAGGGCTCTCTTCATCCAGCTCAGGGCCTAGTGACCTGATTCTTGGCCACAAGGATTGTAAGATTCTGTTTGATGCTCTTCCAACCCACTCGAGGGTGCTCATAAATGGCTTTGACTGATAGCACCCGATTGGCTACCAGACTTCAGGGTGCCTGCACATTGGCCCGCACTTGTTTGCACATCATAGGGCTAGGGCTCACATTGCCCGCGCACTGCTTTAGGACCATTGTCTCAATCACAAGACCTCCTCGTCCACTGCTCAGCTTAGTGTCAATCATGGTAGGACCAAGGCACACCAAGGCTTAACCACGACATTCTCTCCCACTTACTATGTCGATGCCTTTATTGACGCCAAGACCACACTCAACTCTTGTTGCACACAATAGACATTTTCTCATATGTCCCTCACTTGTGCCTTCAAGGATTGGGTCGAGATCCCGTCACATGAGGCACCGCGCACAATACTCGTCCATTGTTGATATAGAGATGTCTCATCCCAGCTCCACTGCACCTCTGTGCTACTTCCACATCTGACCATCTTGACTCAATCTGTTACCCATATGTGCCGTTGCACTTATTCAATTCATGATCACAAAGTTGCAACCTTGAGGTACCTTTGTCAATTATGACCCTTAGTCGAATGAATGGCCACCTGCTTTGCGACACATTGTTGCACCTCGTCGTATGTGAGCCATCACACCAATCGCTTGCTTGTGGCACTGACTCTTTGATGCACCTTTTTGGACATAGTGTTTAGGCCAACCGCACTCATACAGCACCACCCATAATAGACCTTAGCATGGTGGCATTCAAACATTTTGGTCATCTTACAACTTGGGTCCTCTCGGCCCTTCTAAGGGCACCTTTCTAGGTGTGGCCCTTTGGTCAACTGCCCTCGTGGCAGCACCTTTTTGTATGCTATCTTGAACTCAATTCCATACTCAATAAACTCGTAGGCTTCATTGCCTTGGCTCAATTCCACATTCAATCACAATGCTCCCCCACTTTTACTTGAATTCAGCTCGACTTTGCATGCAACCATGCCTTAATGAAGGTTCCACAACTCATCTGCCTTGACTCTGGCATAGCTCGAAGGGCGACTTAAAGCCCACTCAATGCTCAAGGATCCACTAATACATTTTAATCACAATGTCCTCTAATTTGCTCAAATACTAACCCAATTGGACTCAAGGCCATCTCATTGGTGGCATCTACTAAAAAAGGTTCCATATTTGGCTCAATCCCAATTGGCTCACTTCTGCCTTGCTCAAACTCATCGAGCCTGTTGACTAGATTGCACTTGGAATGCCAATACCATGGGCTTTGCTCAACTTAATTGGTCTTCTAACC